ATCAGGTTCATTCCTGTCCTCCAATACTAACTGCTTACGTTCCCTGTCTCTGACCCATGTTGACCCTACTTACCCAAAATCCAACAGAATGAGATAAGACGTGAATATCCCTGAAGCTCATTTCTTCGTTCGTTTGATTCAAATTAGATTACTCCTACACAACACTCCCCCAAAAGTACTACTCTTGGACCTGAACCTCTCCAATACAGTTTCGCTCTACAAGTGCGACCCCGTCTAAGTTTTTTCGACGAATGCCTGATCTTCACTGGATAGTAATTTTCTGAGACTTTATTATTGGGAGCTTCTCCAGCTTTATTCACCATTTCGAAACACTGCTCTGCTTAACTCTTCAGATGTTGATCAAGTCGGAATATCCACCAGTTGCACTTGCCACCGCACCATTTCACGAAACTCTTCTCAGTGCTATCAAGAAACACACAGAAGGCGAGAACAAGACAGCATTTGTGAGTCTTTTTGCTTTGAAATGATGTTTTTTCATTGAACTTGGTCACGGCTAAGACTCGAATCCGGATTCAAATTCCATTGGTTCGGATTACCGGCAGAGGCAAAGTGATCCCTCATGAAGCTGAATCGATGTGCTTTGCCTAAGATTTGAATTCTTGCGATGCTTTTCAGTTTTGCCTTTCTAAGGCGTTGAACATTTCTGCTGAACTTCGGTAGTAATGGCAAGAGCGAGCCTCAGCGCCTCCATAGCACCACTCTCCCATAGGTAAAATGGCGAAATTAGGTTGCTACTCGTTCATGTCATGAATTTTGCAAAATTCTGCTGGCCGGTTTTACAAAGTCTCCCCTTGTGTGCGGCCAGTCTATCCTGCTGGAACGTTCAGTGATTCCTCTCGAAGGCATCCTAAGCAACATGCATCTGTCATGTTTGAAGGAGATCGAGATGAACTCTGCAACCGCAATTGTTGCCCACACTGCATACCTCACCAGTTATGTTGCCTAATTGTGTTGAAAAATAAATAGATTTTTATAGATTTTTCATGAATGCCCGAAAGTAGCCATTCATCTGAAATTGAGGTATGCGCTGAAACAAACAAAGAAGTGAGCTTCAAGGATGTTCATGACTTATCTCATTCTGTTGCATCATTCCTTCATAAGAAGAATTTCCGGGTTGGTTGACCTTTACAGATACATTTATACGTGCTGCGTATTTATGCGTCTTTTTGTAGAAAGATGTGGCCTGTATGGTTATGCCGAATCACTGGGTTTGGGCGCCCTTCTTCCTTGGCGTCACGATGAACGGCGGTACATTGACCGGATTCAACCCAGCAGCGACTGAATGTTAGTGAGAGTTTTCTTATTCATGTGATCACAGCTGATTCATAGAGAATGATTTACATCGAAAGAAAGGCTACGGTGACAAAATGCTGGTCAATCGTTCTGACTTATAACTCGCATTGAATCTCTAGTACTTCAATGTTAGTGTTCGATTGAGTTTCGGAGCCGGGCCTTTTAATCGCGCTGAAACTGGTAGGTGAGTGGACCCTCCTTTGAGACAAGCCATTCATCATTTGGAGCGCCCTGCATGAAATGCTTTTGTGACTTGGTAGGGACCAAGCTTGGGAGGTTTCGATTTTTTTTTTTTGGGGGGGGGGGGTCATGCCACATACAAGACTCTCTCTTTCAGTGACTTCCCATTTATTGTATTTTGGTAGAGGTTTAATTTAAAGATTCAATGAATAATAACTGCTCTTGCACTTTGAATTGGAAGCGTCATTCTCTTTCACAGATGAACTAAAGCATCTTTTCGTCGACAGCCGAGCGAAGGTGGTGCTTACAAACAACGAGTCGTTAACAAAAGTGCTCACCGCTTCTCGCGAGTCGCCGTACATGAAAGTAAGTTATGACTATTAAGACAGTAAGTAGTCAGGGTGCTTAATGACATGATGACTGCAGTGATACCATAACGTATGCAAAATTGCCGTGAGACGTTTTTAGACCGAGTTTAGAGAGAAGAGTCACAAGCGTTTATGCGGATTTTTTAAAAGTATATCAGATGATAAAGGATAAAGCATTTGCCGTTGATCAATCCCTTTCTGGGATGCGGCACGCATTCTACTGTGGGGGCGGAAGTGGTGTAGTGGCAAGTGGCACGCTTACCACGCGAGCGGTCCGGGGATCAAATCCTGGGTCGTGAGTCGCCCGGGCCAACCAAGCCTTCCATCCCTCCGGGGTCGGTTAATTGGTACCAGACTTGTCTGGGAGGATAAAAAACACTGACTTGTACATCGGCTGGCCCCCCGAGCTTTAGCCTAATAAAAGCACTATTCTAACCTCGTGGGGAGCATCAAAAAGGGTATTTACAGTCAATAATTAATGCTTTTCAAAGAGCCGTTTCAGCATGTGATCTGCATTCAAGACGAACCTTCTGGTCACCTTACAGCTGGGGTGCACTCTTGGAATGAGGATGTGGTCGGCACACCTGCTAAAGCAGTTCCCAAACCAGATATCGACATTGCTAGCAGTGTACTGTTCCTGCCATACTCGAGGTGTGAACTAATTTTTTCGACATTTAATCCATTACCGTATTCTTTGAATGCAACTAGTAGAGTCTGAAGTGTTACCTCCTTGAAGAAATAGAAGCACAATCTATCTGCTTCTGTAATCATGTATTTTTGTTATTCGTTTCACAGTAAGCCGTTTCGCCTACCGTCTCTGTTCTTCGAAGCGAATTCAGCAAAGTCTTCATTTGTAGGCCTCTGTGTTATGTGAATGCGGCTGCTTTTCTAGCCTTTGAACGATTATGGAGTTCGGATCTGCACATTTCTTTCTTTGCAAGACAAATACGTGACATCTCATTGTCAGCGTCGTCCAGTCTACAAGCATTAGATAACACTGACTATATGCTCTTCGTAGTCACTGAGGCATACGGGAAGACAGGAAAGAATGCGTCAGTGAAAAGCTGCGCATGAAGCCTACTGAGAAGTTAAGAACTCCGGACGAGATATGTGTATCTTTCACTATCGAGTACTCCTTCGTTCTTCGATGATGATCCTTCTGTAGAATGATGAAATCCTGGTTTAATGGCTGTTGTAGTGTTATCGAAGAATATTTGGGCACTAAACAGGATTATTCCTGATCCCATGACTTCGATGATTCTTCTCCCACAGAGTCAAAGCCTTCTTCAAGTCGACGATGAACGTGAAACATAGCGACATCTTGTACTCTGAGACTCGCAATCGTGACCTAAGCCCGGTTCTGTATTAGTAAATTCTACCCTAAGTTGCTCTTACTTCCCACTTGGTTATAGTACTTATCATCTAGTGATCCTTTAGTTCTGAAGGATGGCTCACGTAAACGTTAGACTTACATCATTACTTACTGTTAGTTTTACTCAGGTTCGAATTCGAAATCTCTCTTTTCCAGGCGAAATTTTTATGGCTACCAGTTTTTATAACTTCCAGGCATTTTTATTTTTAAGTGGCACGACAGGAGTGCCAAAGGGGGTTATGGTCTCTCATCAAAACTTCGGCACGATGATGAACATCTACAGACAGTGAGTTGAAGCACTTTATTTTCTCCTGTCAATAGTTTCTTCAATATCTTACAGTATTTATAGCATGTCATTTTTTCGTTCTGAGAGTGACACAAATAGAACATAGAAGCATAAAATAGAAACATAGAATGGAATATGCACATAGACAATACCTTCAAGCCTTTTTCTAACACTTTTCTGGCAAATGACAAAATGCTGCTATCTCTGAGCTTCATTTTA